GGAATTGGTATTCCCCACCGGAAATCAATAAAAAAATACTCCCATTCGCTTGAAGTGTATCATACACGGGGTCGGCATGATGAAGAAAATCACCCAGAATGAACTTCACATCATGAAAATCCAAAGATTATTGGCTGAAATGAATCCTAATTTGACACCGGAAATTAGTACTTCCCATCGGAAGTCAATGGAAACTACTTCCATTCGCTTTAAGAGTATTATAGATGAGGTTGGCATGATTTAAAAAAACAAAACAAAACAAAACAGAATGAACTTCAGATCATGAAAATCCAAAGATCATTGGCTGAAATCAATCCGAGTTTGACACCGGAAATTGGTATTCCACACCGGAAGTCAATGAAAACTACTTCCAATCACTTTAAGTGTATTGGATTGGCATGACGAAAAACATGATAATGGACTTGAGATCATGAAAATCCAACCATTATCGGCGGAGATAGCCATGTTCTCGTCCCGATTTCAAAAATGCCCCTCCCAGAAGGGTCAAGGGATCGGAAAATTTGAACCCCAACATTTTAGCATACAAATCCTACGGGAGCTGTTTTGATGACATGTCATACCACACTAATTATGTGTGATACAATATCATTTCGTAATTGGTAAATGTTGTCTACATTTTCACCGATTGGTGTAATTCCGTCACACAAAATATGATATTTATTTTTTCTAAAAATGTTAATATTAGGCATATTTCTATAAAAACTCATTTCCATTTTGGGAACATATGTCAGTATTGAAGTGTGTTCTAAAATTTCACTGGTCACAAATAGAACTACCAAATTAATGTGTGAATTACATTTTCCCAACGGGACGGAATTACCCATCCTTTTCGTGACGGATTTAAATATTTTTTCGAAATTCAAGATAAGCTTTAAGTAAATATTTCATAAACGTATTTAGATCCTTGTATCATAAGCTTATAGATTCATATTTGCTTTCAGGTATGGCCAAAACTGCTGCAGAGAGACGACAGAAACGGAGAGAAAATTTGAAGTCAGCTATACATCGGGTGGATTACGAAACTCATAAACGCGTGGATAGGGAACGGAAGAAAAATGCCAGATCCGCCAAGAGACAAAAACAGCTCAGTGATTTAAGGAAAAGAAATAGTTTTGCTGTACGAAATCACCGAATGGGAAATGCCAATGATGAGGTTGTGGATGCAAATGGTACCGTGACTCGGGCCTGTTACAAAACAATGGCTTCACTAGGCCCTACCAAAAAGTCCAAGGAAAAGAGTATCTTTAGTTAAGATAATGACATGCGAAATTCTAGATCTTCAAGCTTGCCTACCAAGAGCAAAGGACAGTGTTCCATCCTAATTGGAGCAGAAAGTGGTTGACTTTCATGAGCGCGGCTCTGTCTCGAGGATGATGCCGGGTAAAGCAGATTTTATATCACTGAAAGACAGGCCAACTTGGCTACAAATATCACAAAGAGAAACGACATTTAGTTACTACGCTAATTGAGACCTACAGGTGCTTCTTGGAAGATAATCCTACAGCTACAAGTTTGATTGACAAATCAAAGTTTTCGTCACTTCGACCAAGATGGATGCTCTTATCATCCCAGATGCATCAAAATGTTTGCGGTTGTAAATTGCACAACAATATCGTGCTTCTATTAGAATCACTTCATCGGAGATACCCAACTGTTGTCCCCTTGTATTCCAAGCAGATGTTACAGTCGTTTGTGTTTGTGATGTCAACATTGAGAAATGTATGTCTTAACAACAACTGTAGTAATTATTGCGACGGCAAGTTATTTGAGAAAACATTTCAAAATGCTGTTCAGGTCGACAAAGAGTTTTCTTGGTACCAGTGGGGAGATACTGATGGATTTGTTCAAAAGGTCAAGAAACAAAACCCTTCGTACGACGTTCGACGAATTAGCTCTGCAGCTCCCCAAGTTCATCTGACACTCGTACATCAAGGATAAACAAGTAGGATGCTATAAACACACGAAGTCCATATCAAATGGAGAAATCTCAGAGTAGTGTCTGCTCCAAAAGGATTTTGCAGAAAATTGCACATGTATATGGCAAGACGTGATCCAGTGCGCGCATGTCCGGCAGAACTATGACTGAACCTGGAAATTGTCTACAAAGTTTTTTTATGCTTGATCACCCTTGAGCGTTTTGAGAAATTCAAGATGGCTTCCAAGTCGGCCACCATTTCAAATAATCCTCTATAACTTCCATAGTATTTAGTCTAGGATGATAATTGTGGTATCTAACCGTATGTGTTTAGGACCAAGAAAGTCATTGATGATGATGATGATATATTTCCAGTTGTGGATGCCTATACCCTCCAGCGTGTTTCAGGCATCAATCTGCATGAGCATCGATGCCTGAAACACACTGGAGGGTATAGTCATCCAAAACTGGAAATGTATCGTCATCATCCCCACCAAACCACGTAGTCTTGCTCAATGAATGAGTGACACCCGTTGCAGTACGCTTGCTTGTAGATGCACGAGAGATGGCATATAATGTATTTTGCGCTTGTGCTGTCGGAGGTTGCAACCAGGCACACGACCAAAGGATTAAACTAAATATTGCCTAGTTTTGTGGGTTTTATTTTCGTCGTTTTTGGGCAGAATTTGTTTTGCTAAATGTTAAAAAAAATCAACTTGTGCCCCCCTTTTCAGGACCGGCTCATGATAGGCATGTATGTGGATTTATCGTATCACTCATATGCTCCGTGGTCCAGAAATATATAGTCTGTCTCTAAATATTTGAAATGGCGGCCGCCCTGGAAGCAATCTTGAATTTCTTAAAACGGCAGATTCTGAAAGAGGACACCAGAGACTACTAAAATCAATCATAAAAAAACCTTTGTAGACAATTTCCAGGTTCACTCGAAATATTGGGTTTGACGACCGGACTAGTTACAGTTTACACAGTGATGATCACTTACAGAAACGAGAAGCTGTCTTGCGGTAACTTAAGTCATGACAAGAACGCGTTGCTGCTTTCGCTTCTATCATGTTCGATATCATTACTGATAACATCCCGACCGTTAACAAGATTTGCATATGGACAGACGGTCCTTTCAGTCAATACATCAAAAAGAAATATATATTTACGTTACTTGCCAAACTTCAGGAACACAATGCTGTACAGCTGAATTAGAACTACTTTGCAACAAGTCATGGTAAAGGCCCGAATGACGGAATAGGTGGAAATGTCACGCGTATCGTCCACAGACTGGTAATGGCCAGAGCAGCGGTGGTGTACGATGCATAAAATTTAACTGAAGCCGTTAATTCGTCCAAGAGTGATCCGGAATGTAGGAAAGCAAATGCTAAATACATCGGTGAAACACGCGGTGTTACAGACAAGGAAAACAGGAACCACTCAAAGGAGACAGATAGAGATAGTCGCGTTTGGAACTGTAATACATGTGGATGGGGTTATAGTGATAAGGGGGGCCCAAAATTAGCAGAGGACTGGATTAGGTGTCAAGTCTGAAAAACTGAGGTTTCATGAATCCTGTTGCGAAACTTCCGATATCGTTATAGAACTATTTTAATTTTAGATTCACTTTTATCATAACAGAAAATAAACTTTTCATTCGGGATTATAAAAAAGAAACGCAATTGTTAAAATCTATTTTTTGAAAGTAAACGTCGGTTAAAAAAACTGTTAATTTGGGTTGATATTATCTCCCTGCTGATCAGTTATATTCAGCCTGGCGCAATGTCTGCACTGTAATTCCGTCACAATGTGAAACGTAATTACGTCACGCATGTTTTACGCAACCAATCACACTTCTTTGGGATGATTTGTTTATAAAAAATTTGTGTTCATATTTTCAGAGCTAGATATTTTTGAAATATCACAAGCCATAAAACCTTTCGATTCACAGATTTAATAATAAACACATAGTTTCCATTTGGGTATTGTCAAAGTGGGTAATTCCGTCACATAATGTTATAGATCTTATTTCATAAAATGCATCTGATATAAAGAGTCCAACAGGATTCTTAATTAAATAACACGCTATTTATGGATAACAATTACTATGGTTATTTCACTGCGACGTTTCACAACAAGATTTCACATATATTTGTGTTATATGCTTGATAACTACTTGTGAAATCTTGTTGAAACGTCGCAGTGAAATAAACCAGAGTAATTGTTATCCATAAATAGTGTGTTATTTGATTATGTTCCAATTACTAAATGCCATTTAAAGAATAGGATTTTTAATTATTCCTCATATATCCCCCCATCTTATAAAATCCCCAATGGGATATACTGTTACTATATTTAACAGCCACTGAATATTCCGTCACGGTGGAATCCATGATATGCGTGTATATAAAGTGATTTACACCTTTTTAAAGTTTTTATTGTAAATTTCTAATCAATTATGCTCTGTGAAATACGCGAAAAGTTCAAATTGAACGACAGTCGTTTGCACCTGCTTAATTCATTCTCCACCTTGTATTTTTAAATTCTTTTCTTTTCACTGAAAATGTTGCCATATATATGTTACAAACATCCATGGTGACGTGTAAAAGTCGCCATAATTTGGATTTTAGGGCAATGTATTAACAAAATCTGTCATTTATAGATTTGGCAGGTACGGCTTAAGCAGGGTAACACGGGCAGCTATTATTGGTCTGAATGGGAGATCTTCTAGTTGGAGAGCGAGAAATGAGGCTTAACGTCCATTCGACACAAACCAGGTCATTTCTGGACTGACATATGGTTCAATTTTATTTCAATAATTCGCATGCGCGTAAGGGTCTTTATTAACAGTGGGTGTAAACCGGAGAAACGGGAGAAAACCCAAGAGGTTGGACAAGCGAACCTACGTTTTGTCACGTACATGCGGGAATCGAAACCATGTTACTTGACTTACTGTCAGACCTTATGATGCAATGTACACGGATTAACCATTCGGTCACCCAACAACCCTTATTTTCGGATATATAATAAATATATATATACATATATTTTGTCAACTTACCCTCACGGTCGCCAGAAGCCATCGTCTGATATTTTGTGGGGTTCTGATGTTATATCACCTAGAAAAGTAAAATAGCTCTTAAAAGTGTATATAGAACAAATCTTTGGGTTGTTGAAGACTATATAGATTTGAAGATCTTAGAAGAAACACAGTGGTTGAGATCAAACCATATTGTCTATTTATAAATGACAATTATACCGTGTTCATTGTCACCTTGACGTTACCTGTAATCAAGTCAGCCATGAGTCAAACAAACCGTCTCAAATAAACCAAAGGTAAAGAGAATACATGTGACTAGTTCCTCGGAGGACGAATTATTCGGGACTGACCTGGCACAAATACAAAACATTTGGTCATCCATTCAAGAACAGATTGTGACTCGAGCTATCCTTGATGAATCGTTACGAATTTCACTGGACCAAATATGATCAGATTTATGTAAAGAAATCAAAGTTGAAATATCACTGAACTAAAGACATCACTTTCAAAAGAAAAGGAAAAGATGGAGGCATTAGTGTTAGAAAGGGATCAGCTCAAGTCAGAAATGCTTTCACTTGCCTCAAGTCAACAACATATGGAAAATGGTATCAGAGATTCAATAAGCCCTGGGAATAGAAATGAGCAATACACAAGCCAAAAGTGAGGCTGATGTCCCCCGTCGAAATCCCAAAATAAATATACGACACATTTTAATTTATCGCACATTTATTTTTTTTCAAAAGTATCAAGCAATCAAACTGATTATCAACTATACACGAAGTTTCATCACTCACTATCAGATAGATTAAAAGTTATCTTGCAAAAAATTGCTTTGCTCTGCTTAGCTTTAGCTCGAAATGTTAATCATTGAATTCAGACAAGACATTCGCATAATTAATAGACATTTACTTCAAGTTTAAACATTCTACCTCAATTAAAAGTAGAGTTGTTATGTTCCAAAGTCTTGACCAATCAAATTGCTTATCTCTCCTTGGCCTCAGCAGAAAATTCTCATCATCGAACTTAGTCAAGGTAATGCTATAATGAATCTATACTCGGAGTTTCATCACAGGCGGGGGACAAAAATACAACCACTGAAGCAATCCATACTAAAAGAACATGAACATCTAGAATCGACCCTCGAAGGAAGTAATCGAAGATCATACAGTTTGAACATGTTAAGGAAATACTGGAAGCCTTGTGTAGAGATGAAAGTGAAGGTGCTTTAATACGAGCTAAAGTCAAGTTTTACGCTGAAGGCGACAATTCTCACCATCGAACTTAGTCAAGGTAATGATATAAAGAATCTATACTCGGAGTTTCATCACTTTCATTTAATGATAACCAAAGTTATCGTGTCCCAAAGCCAACCAATCAGATTGCTTATGTCTGCTTATCATCGAACTAGATCAAGGCATTCACCTAATGAACGCCTACACCAAGTTTGGACTTTCTACCTCAATTAGAAGGCCAATCAAATTGCTTATCGCCCTGCTTACCCTGAGCAGAAAGACGTGTTCATTATCGAACTTAGTCAAGGTATTGATGTCATAAAACTATACATCAAGTATCCTCACTCTAACTTAATTAGAATTAAAATTATCGTGTCCCAAAGCATCAACCAATCAAATTGCTTATCTCTACTTACACTAAGCAGAAAATTCTCATCTTCTAACTCCGTCAAGCCATTCACCTAATAAACACCTACGTCAAGTGTGAACATTCTAGTTCAAATAGAATGAGAGTTATTGTGTTCCAAAGTCTCGACCAATCAAATTGCTTATCGCTCTGCTTACCCTGAGCAGAAAATGCTCATTATCAAACTTAGTCAAGGTATTGATGTAATAAAACTATATACCAAATTTCACCACTCTCACTTAATTAGAACTAAAGTTATCGTGTCCCAAAGAATTAACCAATCAAATTGCTTATCTCTATCTACCCTAAGCAGAAAATGCTCATCTTCGAACTCCATCAAGGCATTGGCCTATTAAACACCTACACCAAGTTTGAACATTCTAGCTCAATTAGAAAAAGAGATATTGTGTCCCAAATGTGACGGACAGACAGACGGACGAACCCATTTTAATAGTCTCCTGCTTTCCTCGAAAGGCGGGGGACAAAAATACAACCACTGAAGCAATCCATACTAAAAGAACACGAACATCTAGAATCGACCCTCGAAGGAAGTAATCAAAGATCATACAGTTCGAACATGTTAAGGAAAGACAGGAAACCTTGTGTAGAGATGAAAGTGAAGGTGCTTTAATACGAGCTAAAGTCAAGTTTTACGCTGAAGGTGACAAAAATACTACATGTTTCCTAAATCTTGAAAAACAAAAACAGACTGCTTTTACATTAAGTAAATTGTTTAATGCCTCCAATAATGAAATTATTGATGATCCTAATGAGGTAATGAGAGAAATCGAGAGGTTTTATAAACAATTGTTTTCTGTGAAAACCACTAATAAAAATGGAATTCCAAAATATATTAAGAAGTCGAATTCAACTTCATGTCTTGACGATTACAAGGCTGACTGTTTAGAGCATAAGTTGGATAAGCAAGCGTGCAGTAGACTCTTCTAAGTTTGGTTCTGCTCCGGTTAATGATGGACTGACTGCGGAATTTTACTCGTGCTTTTGACCTTCAATGCGCTCATCTGTTCTGGACTCATTGAATGAGGGCATTGAACAGGAATGCCTCTCGGGAAGCCAGCGTCAATCTATTATAAAACTAATTTCTAAACTCAAAAAGAATAAATTAAATTACTGGAGATCGATAACTTTAATTAATGTGGATGTTAAAATAGCCAGTAAAGTTCTCTGTATAAGAGTGAAAACTGTTTTGGAAAAACTTGTCAAGCCAAAGTCAAACCGCCTTTGTGTCGGGCTACATATTTATGACAATGTAAGAATTTTAGATGATTGCGTCAGCTTGGCTTTCGACTTCACTAATGCATTCGATTCCATAGCACTAGCACACTTTATATGTTAGAAGGTTTGCGCTATTTAGGTTTCAAACGAAATTTCATTAGGTGTATCAAAACATTGTACAAAAATATAAAAAATGTGCGATTATACATCAAGGCTATTTCCGGTCAGGTACAAAACTCGGAAAACTCGGAAAATATTTTCCAACTTTTCTCCTCTCCGAGTTTTATGAATTGACTCGATTGAAAACACAAAACTCGGAAAAAATTGTCCGACTTTTTGTTTCAAACTGAAAAGTCGGAAAATATTTTCCGAGTTTTCTATTCAAACAAAAAAGTCGGACAATTTTTTCCGACAATTTTTTCCGACATTTCCGAGTTTTGTGTTTTCAATCGAGTCAAATCATAAAACTCGGAAAGAGAAAAAGTTGGAAAATTTATCAAAAATATTATTTTTTTAAAATTGGCGAAAGTAGTTGTAGTAATACATCTATTTAATAAGTTGGACATAATCTGTAACTTTTCAGTTATATTTTAACCAAAATAATGCAATATGGCAGTTATAATCGAATATCACAGTTTTCCGAGTTTTGTATTTTGGCCTATACGAAAACACAAAACTCGGAAAGTGGTCAAAAGGTATCAAAATAAAATATTTTTCATTGGATATGGTGTGTAAGGGTTGTAATTTGTACAAAGGAACTCAACTCGCATTTACGGGGATAACTTGGGTGAGATCGAAAACTCGGACATCCAAAAGATGAAATGATTAAAACGAGGTGTGTATATAATTTCAATTTGACACATGGCCCCGAGGCCGAACCTGCCCCGTTCTCCCATACTATATACGTCGTGTCGAGAATAGGCCTACCTAACTTTTATAAAAAAAATTGGCGAAAGGAGTGACAGTAACACATCTATTTAATAAGTTGGACATGATCTATAACCTTTTCAGTTAGATTTTAACCAAAATACTGCAAGTGACAAAAAGGTAACAAAATAAAAAAGTTTTCATTCGATATGGTGTGTAAGGGTTGTAATATGTACAATTTCAATTTGTACCTGACCGCTATTTCCCAATAGAGTTTGGCGTTAGACATAGTGTCAACAAAGTTGCTCAATTTAATCCTCGAAACATTGTGTACATATATTAGAAATAATAGTAATATTTCAGGTATCACATTTGGTAATTCAACAATAAAAATTATCGCTTTCGCATATGACGTCACGTGTTTATTACGTGACTATAAATCAGCACGACATTTATTAGAAGTTTTAAATCAAGTTAAACTCATTTCAGGTTTATCTGTTAACCTTTCAAAAATTGAAAATCCCTGATATGTTTGTCGCTATGTACGTCCTCAACTTGGGCTTTCATTTTTCCTTTGACACAAAAATCCGTAGTCAGCTGAACTTTGAATCTAAACTTAATGAATTAAAAAACATTTTAAAATAATTGGAAGTTACGAAAATTGACATTGATGGGTAAAATAGATGTAATAAAACATTTGCCTTTATACTAGCCTATCAACTACAGTCACTTTTTGTTCCTAACCATATTGCCGACAAATTAAACAAACTTTTATCAAATTTTCTATGGGAGGTACACGATCAAATAAAAAGGGGTGTGGTTTGTAAGGACTTCTCTCATGGTGGTTTAAAAATGGTAGACATTCATGAATATTTAACTTGTTAATCCTTCGTTTGGATAAATAAAATACTAGACCATGGTTTAACATATTTTCATTCTGCATTTCACCATATAACCCTTTACTTTTATCTGGAAGTAATTATAACCCTAAATATGCAAAATAGAGTACTAATTTCTACGAACAACTCTTCACAAACTTGTATACTTTATACAATTCAAAAATCGGAGATAGGGTTCCAATAACAATCAAGTAACGTATATAGATACAAATTGAAATAATAAAACAACCAATGACACTTTTACATTGCTTGAGTAGAAATTCAATAATTCCACAAGATTTCCTTAACTATCTAGCCAAGACACTTAGGTCTAGCGAAAAAAATCCCTTTCGGGGGTTTGAAACTTGCAATAAGTAAATTATCGAAAGATCACAATTTAAATATTGAAATATTTGTACACATATAAAAGTCTGAAATTTTCAGTTTAAATATATACACA